TTGTTTTATCATTTTGGCTTGTTCTTTGTGTTGATCACTAGCTGGTTCTTAGGTTTTGGGGACTTATAGCTCTTGTTCCAGAGCACTTTTTAAGGATGACCATCGACTCACCACTTCTGGATTTGATCAGGGAGGCTTAGTCTAAGGGAATAAGGAGGGAAAATTGGAAGAATAGGAGGATTAAGGGTCATATTGATAGGTTTGCTAATGATAATTGAGGGCTTTTCACCCGGTGTGGTCGGGTTTGGGTTCTAGTTTCTTGCGAGGTCCGAAAGACAGTAATGGAGGAGGCACACAAGTCCAAGTTCTCAATCCACCTTGGAGCCACGAAGATGTATCAGGAATTGAGACTCAGTTATTGGTCATCATGCATGAAGCGGGAGATTACCTGGTATGTGGAGAGATGCATGACCTGTCAGATGGTTAAGGCAGAGTAGCAGAGGCCACATGGCAAGTTGCAACCTTTGGAGGTGCCCATGTGGAAGTGGGAACAGATCACATGCATTTCATCACCAAGTTGTAGATTATGGCCAATGGATTCAATGCTATTTGGGTCATTGCCGATCGTCTGGCCAAGAGTGCCCATTTTCTTGCTATTCGGGAGAGATCGTCAGCCGAGAAATTGTCCTATGTGTATATGCGCGAGATTGTCGCTCACCACGGTGTGTCAGTTTCTATTGTAACAGATTGCGATGTGGGGTTTACTTCTCGATTTTACCAGAGATTTCATGAGGAGTTGGGTATGAGGATGCATTTCAGCACTGCATATCACCGTCAGAGGGATGGTCAGAGTGAGCGGACCATTCAACGCTCGAGGAGATACTAAGGGATTGTGTTATCGATTTCGGTGGGAGTTGGGACTCATACCTTCCTCTAGCTGAGTTTTCTTACAACAACAATTATCAATCTAGTATTGGTGCACCGCCGTACGAACTTCTCTATGGGAGGAAGTGTCGTACACCAATTTGTTGGGGAGAGGTCGGCCATAGGGTCATGGGGAAGACTGAGGTAGTCCTTTAGATGACAGAACTTACCTAGCAGATCAAGTAGAGGTTACAGACAACTCAGAGCCGATAGAAAAGTAATGTTGATATATGACGATCCGAGTTAGAGTTCTAGGCCGGGGACATGGTTTTGCTAAAGTATCCTCCTAAACCCAAGACGAGTGCATATGATCACATCCCCATGTCTCACAAAATATGATAGTCTCATTTGAACACAACTATATATATATATATATATATATATATATATATATATATATATATATATATATATAGAGCTAGGTTCAAATGTTTTCAACAACTATTGTATGCATCTATGGACCAATGAGAATTTAAGAAAAAATAAATTATTAATAATAAATATAAGGGTATAATAGTAATCTATACTATAATTAATTATGTTAAATTGATAAAATCAAATAAAATCCCCTTTAAATTAGGTTATCAGTTTTACAACCCTATAACAACACCACCCTTTCCCCGTTTTCTCAAAATCCATCGTCCACAACCATCAATCATCTTGGCTGCCGACCACCGTCCTCATCATCTCCATCGCCGACTCTTCGTGCTCCCTTGCGGCCACCACCTGAAACCCGATAAGTCTTTGCCCTGTTTCTACTGCAACATCCGCCTCGACTTCGTTAAAGATCCGGTGGTCACTCTTTGCGGCCACCTCTATTGTTGGTCGTGTATCTACAAATCGTTAAAGATCCGATTCCGGCGCCAAGAAACTCAAGGAAGAATACATCGAAATTGTGAGATTTCTTGATTTTTTTTATTATATTCATAAAGTTTCGATTTTTTCCCAACCCCTTTTGGGTATAACAAGAAAGAAGGAATACCCCGAGATAAAAAATGTAATCTTTATTTGAAATAGGGAGTTTTCTTAAATTGTGCTGATGGCTGCAAGAAATGCTAGAAATGTAGATGCCCAAGAAGCAGCAGAAGTTGCTGCAAGTGAAAATGTTAGTAATGCTGCAGAAGGTGACTCTTTTGAAAAAGAAGTGGGAAACTTTATTGCTGGAGTTAACCAAAATAATAAATTGGACGGGTCTGCTGCAATTCCCGTTAAATAACTTTGATCTAAAAAGTGAAAAAGTGAGTATTTCTTTTATTTTCTTAATTAAACCTTTTGATATGTTTTTTTTGTGGATGTTAACTCCTTATTTGTTAATTACATGAGTAGCATCAATCTTTGCTATTAGAATTTGTTTTTTTAATCAATTTAGGGTCATGAATTGATTCACAGTAAGAGATTTTCACAAATTTGAGACAATTAAGAACATAAACATTGTATGGATGAGAAAACCCTTTTCAAAATCATTTGTAATCACCTCATTAAATAAGCAATATGTTGAAAAGTGTGCAACAATATATACATTCTATATCATATACACAATCTGTTAGAATTTTACATTGTAATTATGCTTTTAGTTGAATGATTCTTTAAGAATATTTTATGTTGGATGGTTTTGGTTGTTATTTGTGAATTTTTTTATTAAGGATTACACTCCATGATATGACACATAATTGTTTTTTTTTCAGTATCTTGATTATAGCTTCAATTATATTTGTTGACATATCATCAAACATTTATAATCTTTCCAATAGATGATTCATTCCTTAAAAATATTATGCAACAAGTATATTATTCTGTTAGAATAATCTACAGAAGAATGCTAAGATTTTCGCTAGCGAGTGCAGGTAAATCTAGGGTTTCAAATTTCATTCTTCTCACAACTTAGATCTATTTACATCACTAATTCATACCATATTGTGTATATACTGATGGGGTTGATTTCATATGTCAACACAATGAATTAATTTTGTTTATTACCAACATAGTAAAGTTTTGATATCATATGCCAACATAGATTGGTGAAAGCTACTTATCTTGTTCTAGAGAATTGTTTAAAAAGGTAATTAATTTGTTTGTGTATTATTTTGGTTCAATTTGTGATTTTGAACTCTGATTTCTATTGTCCCTTGTTATTGTGTATTTGGAATCTAAAATTATATTAGTAGTAAATACAATACTTTTGAATGTATTCTATGTATTCTCTCATATTCTATGTATTCTGCCAGAATATATTCTATGTATTCTCTCATATTCTATGTATTCTACCAGAATATATACATTGATAATTAATTGCATGTAACATGTTTTTAACCATTAATAGTTTTTGTTATTTTGTGATAGGAATGGCTGGAAGAATGCGTTGAAGACCTAATAGGAAAAACTTGAAGAATGAATAAAGTTTGATCATACTCACATTTTAATAATGTTGTTATTTTTTAAGAATTTTATTCATTTTTGTTGATATTCTTTTAGAATATGTATAATTATATTAAAATGTATAAGACTTTTAGTCTGTAAGAATATGTATGAATTTGTATTTAAGTTTGGATGTATAAGAATATATTAGAATGTTGTTATTTTTCAATCCCGGATTCAAGAATTTTGTTATTCTTCATTAATATTCTAATAGAATAAAATTCTGAAAGAGCATCATTCTAACAAAAAAATATTCTGACAGAATAAAATCGGTTATGTTTACAAATTACGTTAGAATTAAAATTGAATTAATTAAAAAAATTCAGATTTTTAAAATTAGGAGAACTAATTATCCCTAAAAATCCGAAAATTTCCTTTTATAATTGTAGTTAATTGTCCAAAATACCCTTTTGCTAAAATTTGTGTGATTATATGGTACATGCAATCCCATTGTAATATCATACACTCTCAAATCATGTCCATTGATTAATTCTATCTGTTGGTCTAGATCTATGCATTCTTATACACAATAGTTAGTAAAAACAAAATAACCTAAGCCTGTATATATATATATATATATATATATATATATATATATATATATATATATATATATATATATATATATATATATATATATATATAGAGATTGCGGACATAGATATGCACGCATGCATTAAGAGTGCATATATTTAAATATTTTTCAAAAAAAAATCGTCAATTTTTTTTGTGCCTAGATATTGTTTAAACGTTGGTTTTCGTTAATCTTTGTTGATTTCATTTTGGAAATGATGTATGGATCAGTAATTCTAAAGTTCGCACAAATTTATTGGTTTTCAAAAGAACTTGAATATATATATATATATATATATATATATATATATATATATATATATATATATATATAGAGAGAGAGAGAGAAATAAGAGATCAAGTACGAAGGGAAGTTTATGTGCGAAGGGTGAGAAGGTATGTGGTTCCTTAAAAATATTAGAATCAATTGTTATAACGCATATATGGCAATTATTATTAATTTAAAAGATGAAATAAGATAATTACGTTACAATTATATGTCATTTAATAAAGTTCATATCTCGTATCCCATTTATATCACACCTCTTCATTTATTCCTTGCCCTAATTTCCACCCCAAAAAGAAGCCATCAGATTAGAGATTGAATTTGAAAAGGCAATCATATTTTACAAGATATTTCGATGTAATCAAATTCAACGTTATTTCAATTTCTGCTTGAAGGGTTCATAACGAGCTTCATCAACTATTTAGGATATCAACCACGCATTGGATGTATCTCTTCCCAGCCATAATTTTCGCCCAAAAAAAACCCTTCAGGATGAAAATTGAGAAACAATAATCGATGGTTTTTAATTGGAGATTAGATATGATTAAATTCAAGATATTGGGTATAATCAAATTATTGTTTATGTGCTACGAGCTTTAATTTCTGCTGGAAGGGTCCATAACGAGCACCATAATTTCGGGATGGAAATTGATAAAGAAGAATCGATGGTTTTTAATTGGAGATTGGATATGATCAAATTCAAGATATTCTACTACGGATTTTTCTGGTATAATGGTTCTATAAAGATTCATTGGCTTGATAAGCTACATAAAGAGTTTCTAGTAGGAGGGTTCATACCGAAATTTAGCAATCAGCCACAATTTCATCTGTGTTTTGCTCTGGAGTTAGAAATTTTGGACTTATGGAGTATCTAAGTGTATCAAAACCTCATCCAGACTCACTACGTAAGTAATTTTTGATAATCTTCTTGGTTTTCATTTATGGTGATTCATGACAGTAGTGATTGATAAAATGTTGTTGGTGTGTTTTTAGTCTGAAACTGACATTATTTATTCAAGTTTTACACCTTTTGTTCTTAATGATATTAGTTGTTTAAGCCGTTTAGTGCTTCAAGTGTTGTTACTGTTTATGGTGGTAACTTTAGAGTAGTAACAAAAACTAGGTAACAGAATAATTATGTTAGGAGAAATGATTCAGGTGTTACCAGTACTTTTCTGTCAAATGAATCCTAATAAATATGCTTCTGTTTAAGGCTTTGTATTATTGTTAATTATTATTTATAGATTTTATTCTATCTCAATCAACAGGGAAACAGAGTGAACACACTACAGTCATTAACAACAAAGACATTTCCATCAATAATGATATGGAATCCAATCTATCAAAATCAAGTATAAACCAATGATCATAAATCATTATTTAATGTTTTCTTATATTTATTTTTATGTTTTAATAATATGTATATGAGGATGGTTTTTCAGAACAAAGCAGGACAAAGTTTACATCAGATTTTTATTCTCGAAAGCGTCCAAATGATGATGATGATGATGATGATGATGATGATGATTTTGTAAACCCACCACCTGTTACAATTCCGATACAAAAGATCGTGAAAAAGCAAACTAGAATGGCAAATCCAGGAAAAGTGGAAGATTCCTTAAGATATTTGAACACCAGGTTCCCTCCGGAACACATTACCAAAACCATGGCATTGCTGAACAATGATCAAAGAAAATGTGTAGAGTCTATTGGATTTGGATCCGCTTTAAATATACAATTAGAAAAACTGCCGCGTAGGATATGTTATTGGGTTGTCGACAACTACGACCCAAATACCAATTCGATTTGTGTAAAGGACAAGACACTTGTTGTGACAAGGGAGAGGGTACATGAGATATATGGGATTCCAATGGGTGACATACCAATGTCTAACCCTTGTAGAGCAAACTCTAGAAACAAGTTTGTCAAACTTTGGAAATCCTAATTTCCAAAATCAGTCAAACGAATACGGCTAACCCACGTTGTAGACATGATACAAAAGGACAGAAATGTTTGTCCCTTTTTTATTATGAATTTTCTTGTGTTGTTTGTATCTGTGATGATTGAGTATCCAACGATGGGGACTGTCAATCAAGGATTCTTGGAAAATATTCCGGATGATATGGATATCAAACAATTAGACTGGTGCGGATTTGTTGTAGCATGTTTGAAATCAAGTCGTATGATGTGGAGAAGATTGGACGATAAGTGCGTTTACAGTGGTCCCATTGTATTTCTTCTGGTAAACACATTTTCTGAAATGTATCAAAACATGATTAAAGATGCTTATATATGTATATTTTCTTCAATAACATATACTTTTCAGTTGTTTTACCTTAGTTGCACAAAAGTTGAGGATGCCACAATTCAAAGTCCAACTGTTGGAATGATGTATTGGACAACAGACATGTTAGATAAGAGGGAGTTAGAAGAGTTGTCTAAAGGAGGTTTCGGAAATGTAATCATATCATCACAACACATGAGCATGAACCACACTAAACAAGGTATATTCTAGCATTTTCAAACTATTTGAATAGTACTAAGCATACAAATTATACAAAACTTTAATTCACATACGGAAATTCCAAAACAGAAGATGGCGAGGACGATGACGCCGCTGGATCTGAACGAGATTGTAAATCTCATGCTGGTTTTATCGAACATGTACTTCAACAAACATCACAAAGTGAAAATGATGCAGATAACAACTTGAAGGTAATGAAACTATACATTTCAACAAATTTATGATGCGATTTTGTTTATTACTAATGTTAATCATGGTAAAATTCATGATTTTAGTGCTTTATTTAGTACACTGATTCACTAAATTTGTTCAATGTGCTATAACTTTTATACACATTATACAATGTAAAACCATTATTTGTTTATTACTATTAAAGAACTTTAGTATATGTCACCTTATCGGGATTCGTGTGACTTTTGTGCTTTTACTGATTCAATAGAAAACCAAATCGAAAATCAGTATTTCAGCACATTTGTTTTACCATTTCCTGCTATCACTTTTATAGCATTCTACTTATGCCATGCTTCTTTCCAGGATATTATGAGCGAAATTAACATCGAATTCAATGCATGCGACAATGCAATGCGAGCTATACAGAAGTTGTTGATGCAAGGTATAAAGAAGTTTCCAGATTCTATCGAACTGCGCATGTTAGTAACTAAAAGACATCACGATTTCAATCTGGCATGGCCAGATTTTTCAACATCTGTTGATTCTCATGATGGGACATTTTTCAATGGAGCTGCGACACCTGTTACGCCAGTCCGAGATAATACAGTTGAAACTAAAGTTGATCAGTTTACGGAAGATCAAATGGCAGATGAGCCACTTATTGATGTTGTGTGTACACCTTTTACACAAATTCTTAATGCAGATGCTTTTGACATGATGTTAGAATCGGCATTTGCCACCTCTACAAGGCTTTCAACTCCATCAGATCATGTCGAACCAAATATCAAAATTGATGATGTAAACGCGGTTCCTGTTACTATTGTGGCACCAAGACGGACATCAAGATTGGTGGTTAGTCCTGTTACTATTGTGGCACCAAGACGGACAAGAAGATTGGTGCAACTAACCGAGAAACTTAGATCACCTTATTTTAATAGGGTCGTTGATCCAAACAAAGTTCTTAGACCAATCGAGGAGAGAGTGTCCGGTTGGATTTTCGCAGGGCTGGACGAGGAATGGTACATTTCTAAATCAATATATCCGTTCTACAGTAAATAAAGAATCACAGTAACTATATACTTATTAATGAAAACTAATTGTAATTTAGGGATCTTGTATTTGAATCAACTTTTGGAGATATCGGATATAGGGGAATTTTGAGAGTATGATTCTTGGATCCAAAATCCATGTAACAATAATAGACATTTGGGCTACTCTTCTAAACTATCAGGAACTACGCAGAAATAAGAAGTCACCAGCAAGGATGTTTTTATCCTGCACACTTCTGGTAAAATTAATTTTTATGTCGTATACTTATTTTAAATGATCCAATAATCTACGCATTTTAATTCCAGAGCAACTTCATACTGGATGAGGCGATTTGTATTGAGCAGCGATACAAAAGGTTTGTTGATCGCATGAATGAGCATATCGAAAAATTCAAACAATGCACAAGCTTCAAAGATGTGGACCTTGTAAGTCCTTTTCATTTATTCAATCAATTTACATTAACTAACTTGTTTTACACAAAACTATGTTCAACTAATTTTATTATGGACATCAGGTATTCTTCGCGTGCTTGACAACGAACATTACTACCTTATTGTCTTTAATTTCATAAAATCCGAATGTGTAATCATAGACAACATTTACCGTGAAGAGTCGATTGAAGTGATTTATGGAAACGTGCCTAACGATATGGTAACAAAATTTCATATTATTTAATTTAACCAGGATCATATATTATATTCTGATCACCTATCATATTTATTCCAGAAAATATTGTTTACTCTGTACATTAATGCTTGGAATCATCCAAGAAGAAATTCAATGAAGAGTGCAATCATAGTTCGCTCGTCTATGGAATGGATGACAAAGGAAAACTACATAGACTGTGGGTTATTCCTTATGAAACACATGGAAACATATAAAGGTGGGGATCCGAATAAATGGATTGTGGGTTTGGAGCCTGAATTCGCAGACAGTGATGACCAACAGATACAGCTAAATGAATTGAGAAAGAAGTATGTTACAAAAATTTTGACATCAGATTTGAACATTATCAAACCATCTCTCAACAGAAAGTTAGCATCATACGATAAGTTGTCTGATGCGGAGAAGGAAAACTTGAACACTGAAGAACATCTCCAACGCATTGAGCTCAGAATCAGTTTGTTTTATTAGATTCACATTAAGCTTTGAACCATGTCTTATGCTATTTTTACTTTTGTTTTGTTTTTTGGTGTGACAATAATATTATTTACATTTGTCTTGTCTGTTTTTAAGTAACCAATCTTCCATTATTATAGTTTTTATTAATTTATTATGTGTGTTTGATATTTACCACAATTTACCTTTTCTATACCATTTACGCATTTTTTTACTATCAATTTTGAAACAAAGTTACAATGATTTTGTTATTAAATGCAATTTTGATTATTCATGACACTTACATTTGACTATTCATGACACTTACATTTCACTATTCATGACACTTACACTGTCACCGATTACAAATAACAAAAATTTAATTGCAGGAATTCTTCTTATCACTAACTTTAAGCCATCATGACAGTTAAAACTGCTTTTCATATTTTATCGCAATTACCCCTTCCAATCACATTCTGCAATCTAGGTCTAGGTATGACTCACCTACATTAATAACATAAAATTAAATCATGTGATTCAGGTTGATTCATTCCACTACAAATAAGTCCTTTATTTTGAGTTTTATTACTAACACTCTATTTTATCATTCAAGTGAATACCATCTTACTACATCGACCTAGTGACATCTTCATTTTACTCAATTTTGACCATTCACTTTAAGCGTTCATGACAGTCAATCACTTTTTCTAATTCATGTCATTTAACTACATATGCCAACTAAACTAATGCTCCATGTAGTTATGGCATCATTTATCATGTATGCTTTCGAGCGACCACAACATTTGATTCAGACATAGATACTAATATCTTAAAAATAAAAACCCTCTAACTCTCTGCATTAAAAATAAAACGCTTCTAAATGTTAAACTCAAAGATTCACGTTAACTCGTAAAATAACATCGTTATCTTGAATACTTAATAATTAAGAAGAAAAAAACCAAACTATTTAGAAGCAGAGTCATTTGCTTTTTTCTTGCAAGTGCGAGCATTATGATCAACATACTCCCCGCATCGTCCACATTTTATCGAACCCTTTTTAGCCTTTAAAATCGCCATCTCTTTTTCTCCTATCATCCTTTTCTTAACCGGCCCGCTACCTTTGTTTCTAATTCCTTCTGGAATTTTTACTTTTACTTCATCTCGCTTCTCGACACCAAACACCGCTTCAATGAAGCCTCTGTTCGTCATGGGTTGTACACTTCTTGTATCTTCATCAACTTCTTGAGTCATCTCCCTTAGTTTCTCTCGATACAACTTCAACTTTTCCATATCAGAAACTAGCCGATCAACACAATAGTCAACCGAATAGTATATGTCCCGGATCATTGATTTAAAGTCATCATTTGCATCATTTTTAGGAGACTGACACATATTATACCCACTTGATGGCCTCGATACCACATCCTTTGTCCATCTTCTTGAAACATATTTTCTAGGGAAATGTTCCACTCCTGACATCCTTAATACATAAAAGCAGTGTCTACATAGGCACCCAGTTAATTCAAAGCGTAAACAAGAGCAAGTAACTGTGCAATCAGATTTCATGAATGAAACCTGTCAATATAACAAAGTATTAATATTTGTTTTGTTTAAAACAGTTTCTAGATACAACCAAGTACAATTTACATACCTCAAAATCACCAAAATGCTTAACGTCTTTGTCGGTATCTTTGATGCTGAATTTAATAATTTCGTCATATTCTTCTACTTTAATTGAGTAACATGTAAGCATGGATGCCATTATCTCCTTTTGTATTTCAAAGAACACAGTTCGTGTAAATGTCTCAGATGCCTCCTCTTCAATCAACAATTTAGTTTTAATCTTAGGATTCGTGTAGCGGGAGTCGTGATTGTTTTTACGTTGAACACAATGTTGTGCTTCCATTGCCGTTTCAAAATGACCGAGAAACTCAATTAAATGCAAATCTGTATTTGTCATCAACCCGTAGAAATAATTTTCACCTTCACATCTTGATGTCGTTCGCATTAACCATGACAAGTGGCAATCCTTGAAATAGGCAGGAATCCATTTATCACGAATTGCAAACATATCTTTAAACCATTTGTTATCATTTAACTCATACTCATCCATTATCCCTTGCCATTCTATTTCAAACTCGCTTGTATTGATTCGTTCATTCCATATAACATCGTTTAATCGTTTCAAAACCCCCGTCTTTGACATATGGGAACCCAACTGAAAAATCAATGGGTAATCATCATTAGTTTTTCTGATAAAAATTGAATCATTTCATTTATAAGTACCAACTTACACTTCCAACTTCCAAGTACAATGTGATTCCAACTGAATTGAGTTATGGCTAGTGATTCAAGTACCAACACTTAAGTGCTTCATCCAAAACATGATTCAATCAAACTAACTTACAATCCCAAAGCAAAATGTGATTCCAACTTAATTGAGTTACGCCTAGTGACTCAAGCACTGTCACTTAAGTGCTTCATGCAACACATGATTCAATCACATCTACATTAATAATCCCATATCTACATATGATTTTAAGTGATGCTTCAACTAAGTATTTTTTCGTAACAGGTGCTTCAATACAAAAAATTGAATCACTTCATTTATATATACTAACTTACACTGCCAAGTGCAATGTGATTCCAGCTGAATTGAGTTATGCGTAGTGATTCACGTACGACACTTAAGTGCTTCATGCAAAACATGATTCAGTCATATCTACCTTAATATTCCTATATGTATAAAATGATTATACATGATGCTTCAACTAAATACTATTTTTGTAACAGACGCTTCAATAGAAAAAAATGAATCACTTCATTTATACATACTAATTTACGTGCTTCATGTAACATATTATTCGATTACACTAACTTAATATTCCTATATGTACATACGATTTTAAGTGATGCTTCAAATAAGTTTGTTTGGTAACAGGTGCTTCAATAGAGTTGAGTTCCAAGCAGAATGTGATTCTAACAGAAATGAGTTATGCCTAGTGATTCAAGTATCCAACACTTAAGTGCTTCATCCAAAACATGATTCAGTCACACTAACTTAATATTCCTATATGTACGTACGATTTTAACTGATGCTTCAACAAAGTTTGTTTGGTAACAAGCGCTTCAATACAAAAACTTAATCTTTTCATTTATATATATATATATATATATATATATATTACCTTACACTTCCAATCAAAATGTGCTTCTAACAGAATTGAGTTCTGCCTAGTGATTCAAGTACCAGCACTTAAGTGCTTCATCCAAAACATGATTCAGTTACACTAACTTAATATTCCTATATGTACACACGATTTTAACTGATGCTTCAACAACTCTTGTTTGGTAACAGGTGCTTCAATAGTGAAAATTGAACCATTTCATTTACATATAATAACTTACACTTCCAAGCAAAATGTGATTCCAACTGAATTGAGTTCTGCCCAGTGATTCAAGTACCATCACTTAATTGCTTCATGCAAAACATGATTCAGTCACATCTACCTTAATATTTCTATATATACATACGATTTTACGTGATGCTTCAAATAAGTTTCTATTGGTAGCAGGTGATTCAGTTCTATTGGTAACAGTTGATTCACATCTACCTTAATATCTTTGCGATTCAACACAACAAACTTTCACTTCCAAGATACATGTGATTCCAACTGAATTGAGTACCAGAACTAAAGTGCTTCATGCAAAACGTGATTCAGTTTAACTAACTTAATATTCTTCAATGTCCATACGATTTTAATTGATGCTTCAACTAATTATAAGTGACGATTCAGTTATACTAACTAAATACTCACAAAAATATACATACTATTTTGAGGGTATATTATTTACCTTGTCGGTGAACTTTTGTGATATGTGCCACATACACAATCGATGCCTACAAGATGGTGACAAAACTGCTGGAATCGCTTGCTTGATAGCCGCGTCTTGATCTGTCATCAACACAGTTGGTTCTCGCCCAAAAGTAGTTTTAAAAGCCATTAACAACCATTTATACGATTCTATTGACTCACTAGCAAGCAAGCCAACTGCAAAAGTGACACACTTTTTATGATTGTCAATACCCGTAAATGGCACGAAAATCATGAAGTACCTGTATAACAAATATACAATATGAATTATACAAGTTATTACCACCGTTAATTTAACAACCATGATAACTGTTTAATATGTAAAGATATTATGTACTTGTTTGTTCGGTAAGTAGCATCAAATCCGACAATATCTCCAAATGCTGAATAATTTCGCTTTGCTTCTTCATCCGCCCAAAATAAACCACACAACTTTCCCTCACTGTCCACACGATATTCAAAAGAAAAGTCGTGTAAATGTTCTTTTTTTTAGCTTGTCAATTACCATGTCCGCATCATTCTCACCAATATATTTTATCCGATCCCTTTTCAAATTTTTGCATTCAACTTATGTTGCCCCGACGTTGAGAAATCCTCCTTGCGTTTGCTTCAATATCTTGAATGCTCTAACCGGACCAATGTTTATATCTGATACATCATGAATCAGTTGTTTTTGATGATATGTAAGCCTCCTGTTACTTTTCAAAAAATGGAAATCTTCTGGATTAACCAACTCATGAGTGTGTTTCTCCTCAAAATGTCTGACTACCCAAACATTTTCATCATTGAGCTTCAATCGGATACAAGCTTTACATCCTTTTCTGTGACTTGGCCGATTTCGTCTTTGTTTGCTCCGGTCTTTCAAACTATCAAATGAACGTTTTTGTTTTTTTTTTTCTCGCCCTCCCTATTACATAATATGTACCTACGCGAGTACCCATCTCCTGTTTTCGATTGCTCTGTTGTACCTTTTCGTATCTCGAACCCACTTTTACGTGCATATTCTCTATAAAACGACAGTGCGTCATCATACAACGGAAATAATTGCCCTACAAATGGTTTCAACTCAGTTTTTGGTGTCCAAGTTTTTTCAACTTGTACACATTGAACCCCATCAGAATGAAAACTTGCTGGTTCCGATTCACACATATCTGCAACAAATAAACAAAAAATTAATGTTATTGGTGTGTTTTTAGTGCGTAATTGACATGGTTTATTCAAGCTTCATACCCTTTTCAACTACTTGAAGACATTGCACCCTATCAGATTGAATACTTGTTTGTTCCGAATCAAACATATCTGCAACACATATCAAGTTTTATGTCAGATTCAGTGAAAAGATAAATAACAAAATTAACAAAATCAATATGAAATAACTGTTACAACACTAATTCACATTATACTCCAATCAATTCACCATCAGTCTACCATACGACTTCTCGCAACTAAAACTGATTCACCTTTTTTGCTATTCAATTGTCATCTTCTTTTCTTACAGGACCAATTAACATGAATAGCATCACAAACTCTATTGAATCATTAAGATATTAGTATCTATGTCTGAATCAAATGTTGTGGTCGCTCGAAAGCATACATGATAAGTGATGCCATAACTACATGGAGCATTAGTTTAGTTGGCATATGTAGTTAAATGACATAAATTAGAAAAAGTGATTGACTGTCATGAACGCTTAAAGTGAATGGTCAAAATTGAGTAAAATGAAGATGTCACTAGGTGGAGGTAGTAAGATGGTATTCACTTGAATGATAAAATAGAGTGTTAGTAATAAAACTCAAAACAAAGGACTTATTTGTAGTGGAATGAATCAACCTGAATCACATGATTTAATTTTATGTTATTAATGCAGGTGTGTGATACCTAGACCATGATTGCAGAATGTGATTGGAAGGGGTAATTGCGATAAAATATGAAAGCAGTTTTAACTGTCATGATGGCTTAAAGTTAGTGATAAGAAGAATTCCTGCAATTAAATTTTTGTTATTTGTAATCGGTGACAATGTAAGTGTCATGAATAGTGAAATGTAAGTGTCATGAATAGTCAAATGTAAGTGTCATGTGTAATTGACATGGTTTATTCAAGCTTCATACCCTTTTCAACTACTTGAAGACATTGCACCCCATCAGATTGAATACTTGTTTGTTCCGAATCAAACATATCTGCAACACATATCAAGTTTTATGTCAGATTCAGTGAAAAGATAACTAACAAAAATTAACAAAATCAATATGAAATAACTGTTACAACACTAATTCACATTATACTCCAATCAATTCACCATCAGTCTACCATACGACTTCTCTCAACTAAAACTGATTCACCTTTTTTGCTATTCAATTGTCATCTTCTTTTCTTACAGGACCAATTAACATGAATAGCATCACAAACTCTATTGAATCATTAAGATATTAGTATCTATGTCTGAATCAAATGTTGTGGTCGCTTGAAAGCATACATGATAAGTGATGCCATAACTACATGGAGCATTAGTTTAGTTGGCATATGTAGTTAAATGACATAAATTAGAAAAAGTGATTGACTGTCATGAACGCTTAAAGTGAATGGTCAAAATTGAGTAAAATGAAGATGTCACTAGGTGGAGGTAGTAAGATGGTATTCACTTGAATGATAAAATAGAGTGTTAGTAATAAAACTCAAAACAAAGGACTTATTTGTAGTGGAATGAATCAACCTGAATCACATGATTTAATTTTATGTTATTAATGCAGGTGTGTGATACCTAGACCATGATTGCAGAATGTGATTGGAAGGGGTAATTGCGATAAAATATGAAAGCAGTTTTAACTGTCATGATGGCTTAAAGTTAGTGATAAGAAGAATTCCTGCAATTAAATTTTTGTTATTTGTAATCGGTGACAGTGTAAGTGTCATGAATAGTGAAATGTAAGTGTCATGAATAGTCAAATGTAAGTGTCATGCGTAATTGACATGGTTTATTCAAGCTTCATACCCTTTTCAACTACTTGAAGACATTGCACCCCATCAGATTGAATACTTGTTTGTTCCGAATCAAACATATCTGCAACACATATCAAGTTTTATGTCAGATTCAGTGAAAAGATAACTAACAAAAATTAACAAAATCAATATGAAATAACTGTTACAACACTAATTCACAATATACTCCAATCAATTCACCATCAGTCTACCATACGACTTCTCTCAACTAAAACTGATTCACCTTTTTTGCTATTCAATTGTCATCTTCTTTTCTTACAGGACCAATTAACATGAATAGCATCACAAACTCTATTGAATCATTAAACATTGCTTCATTGAATCAACTTTCCCACTCTTTATCACTTTTGTAATCTGCATTATATTACACTAAAAAAAAACAAAAACACAAACCTGTGTACTTTTCCGTCTCTTTCTTCTGGTGAATATGTTGCTTAACAGTTTCAATCTTCTAGTCTGTTGCTGTACATATGAGCTTGTTGGTCGTCAATTGGTTGCTGTACATGTTAGCTTCGTAATAACACTTGCGTTTGTTTATGCCTTGATGCTAAAAAAACAACCCACACAAAACAAAAAAACCAAAAAAAAAAAAAAAAAAAACGCAGACCTTTTTAAATTTGTAACTGATGCATTTCTTTAAAATGTAAAATTGGAACCCTGACTTGCTCCCACCCATATAAAAAACACTTACATAAATAAATTTTTAGATAGAAGAATTCGACTATATATTTTGTGCAGCATTGATTTCTTTTTCTTCTTACCTTCTTACCATTTTCTCACTTCTTATTGGATCCATATATATATATATATATATATATATATATATATATATATATATATATATATATATATATAAGACTATGTTAATATAAAACGATGTTCGTATTATTTGTAGCTCCCTCCCGATTTAATTTATTTTGATTTTTCATTTGAATTTTTAATTATGTTTTGTTATTAATTTATCTATAATAAAGTATCGCAAATCGAACAATTATGTGATTATTTTGTTCTTTGCTCATTTTTTTTTATTGTCCTTGCATTTAATATATGCATGTATGTACTAAAAATATTTTTGTGAAAATATTTTGGAAGGATGCAATGGTGGCAGGCCGGGAATAGAGTATGAGGATTCCGGTCAACGCCGCCGACGTAATACCTTTCTTCTACCCACGTCTGTACGTTCTTTGAAATCAGGAGTTGGCAAGCACTTTTATTGCTTCGTTAAAAACATTAGAAAAATCACCGATGAATTTATGTCCATTTTTAAAAGTTTAAAAATTAATATTTTAACTGTGAGGTTAGAAAAACATATTATCATAATAGCAATTTATCAATAAAGTGTTTTATTCTTTTTGTTTTCTTGTCCAAATTTATCATTAGTATCAACTGTCGTCATGAAAATATCTTTGTAAGGCATGGTTAGTATATTTTAAGTGGTACTGCGTCTATAAGTTATAGTGCGAAATATTAAAAATGAAAAGATTTCAAAACAAGAGCATGAGAAATCGTATATGGTGGATCACCACTAATCCTAGAAACTACATTACCGTTATGTACATGATATATTTATATATTATTATAATACAAGTTTTGGAACTAATTCAAGTAGAGTCGATAATTTTATCATTGAAGTTATTTTAGGCAAATCAAACATTAATATTACATAAAATATATGTTTTATTCCCTCCTTTACAACCGGTTGCTACCTTTTTTGCATTTAATTTAAAAACTTTTCAATATAAACATTACCATCGGAGAACCAACCACAAATAAATTGCACATGGAATAGAATATGATGATGAGGTGCAACAAATCTTTGTAGTGGTAGAACAACTATCAACCAACGTTCACTTCATAAGAACCACCATATCTATACCTAAAATACATCAAACACATCATATCTAATGCATATCTTGAGGTGTTTCACCAGAGATCGGAGAGAAAATTAAGGAGGCAGTCTGGCGGAGTTTCACTTGAGCAGTGTGGTGGAAGCGGTGGTGGCAGTTGATGGTGGTGATGGCGTTCATAGGTGTTAGAGCTCAAACATGTTAGATCTGATGCAGATCTAGTGGTTTGTCATTGGAGATCATAGAGAAAAAGATGGAGACACGCTCGTCGTGTTACACCACAACGTTAAGGAAGCAGTGGTGGTAGTGACGTTTTTCAGTGGTGGGGTTCTACGGTGGACTTTTTTACTCTAGATGTGAGACCAATGGAGGTCAACGGTGGATTTGAAGCGAAATCACATTCGTGACTTGACATTTTGACAACATAGGGCGGTATGTGACCTCTACGGTAGACAATGATGGTAGGTAACAGGTGGCGACAACCGTAGGTGGTAGAGTTGGTGTTAGAGTTTGTGTTGGTGAGAGTGTTTAAGAGGGTTTTCTCGCAAAAAAAGTATGAAAGTGTTTGAAATGATTAAATGTTAGATGTTAGATAGGTATTGTTAAAGTTGTGAATGACTATTGTACCCTTATTACTTTTTGGCTAGTTATCAAAAAAAATTTAAAAATCAAAATATTAGAATAGACAAAAATACCTTTAATGATAAGCTAAAAATAAGTGGTTCCTAGAGTCTCTAAACTTTAAGAGTTGTTATTTGATCGTGTAACTTCCTAAAAATCATGATAAAAATTTTCATTTTTCATAAACTATAAGTGATACAAACATTGTTTTCAAAACATAGTCATAAAATCAACGTATTCAATAACATCTCTCAACATAAATCCAAAGGATGATGTGTATGATCACGCCTTCGCCTTGCCCCGATCATCTGATGTACCTAAAACCATAAAACCAAACTGTAAGCCAAAGCTTAGTGAGTTTCCCCAAAAATACCCCACGCAACAAAACATATACAAGCATGCATATTGGGCCGACAGTCTATAAGGGTCGAAATTATATTGTAAGGTGTTGAAATGTAATGTTATTTTACAAGGGCATTTTGTGTCGAAACTAGAAATCTTAGTCCTTTGTAATTTTTTGTATGCTTTACTGTTTTCCTATAAATAGGAAATGTTACTTAGAGTTAGATAAGAGTTTTGGGAGTCTGTCTTGTCTATTCTCTCTTTGTAATCGTGAAACATAATTGAGCTGAAACAAGATCTTATTTACTCTCGGTGTTCTTAATTCTCGTTACTCTGATTCTACGTTCAGTACTCGATTCAATACTTCATCAATTGGTATCAGAGCAGGAATCATATCTATGCGATCTGATTTTCATTCTGAATCAAAAGGTTTTTGAATCAATTTCTGGATTCAAAAATTTCTGCGCCTTTTGTTTTGAAAATCGTTATTGATCTACAGGTGGGATTCGATTCTGCAACTGATTTGTTGAATCGAGTGTTCTGTTTGAAATCTCTGATCGTTTCATCCGTACGTTCATGACTAATTTCAACCTGAACACAATGACATCATATTCTCATCTGCTAGGATCTTCAACTAAGATTCTTATCCTCATCCCTGAATACTATGATCAGTGGGCTGATCGCATGCAAGACTACTTAAACGGGCTGGATGAGGAGCTCTGATCATGTATTACTGGAAATGGTACTCCTCCACCAAATGTTCAAGCAATTGGATCTTCATCTGAGACTTTAAGTGTTACTGATCAATCTAATAGGCTGAAGAAGCTTGAGAAAAGATTTATGAGAGAATTGCGTGGTGTATTACCTCCTGTTGTGTACACCTATGTCAGAAGCTGTACAACTGCAAAAGACATCTGGAACAATCTCAAAGAAAAGTTTCAAGGAAGTGAAAAGACTAAGATCAATTCTGTAAAACATTGTTTGATTGAATTGAAAGAATTCAAACAGAAGGATGGAGAATCAATAGAAGATTACTATGATCGGTTGAACGAATTAATCTAGAAGTGTAATCGCCATGGAATTACTCGAACAACCATGGAGTTCAATTTGACATTCATCATGGTTCTGCACAAAGAATGGAGGAATGTGACATTGATGGTGAAAACTCAGCAGAGTTTCGATACTTCGACGCTTAATGACTTGTACAATCTGCTAAAAACTCATGAATGAGAAGTTAATGAAATTGCTGAGGAATCGAAAATAAGTCTTGGAGGACCATTAGCTTTGATGTCGAAAGTTAATGAGAAAGAGTCAGTCGAAAAGGAAGATTCTGATAGTGAAGGATTTTTGGTTAATTCGGACGATGAAGCTGTTGCATTTTACTCGAATAATAGGGTAAAGAAGTTTTTCAAGAAACCTTTTAATTCAAAGTCGAAAATTGGTGAGGGAAAAGGAAAATTTGTGGCAAAAGCAGGAGGAGAAGAGAAAAAGAAAAGTGAGAAAAGTGATGTTAAAGAGGAAGAGCAGAAAGTTGAGAAAAAGCTGAAAGGAGACTCTGGAATTGATTGTCACTATTGTCGTGGTGCAAATCATATGTCTAGTGATTATTTGCTTTGAAAGAAGGATGAAAAGAAAAATAAAGTGAAAGACGAAGCGTATTATGTTGAACGCTTGGAAGAAGTGAGGGCGAAAGCAAAAGGAATCTCTCTTGTGGCAAAAGATGAGGATGATGATGAAGGAACATACCAAATCTGGTCCTCAGGTTTTGATGACGAGGAAATGCATAATCATACGCATGGGTCCTTGTTTTATGACCAAATGAGGAGATAAATCACTCATGACAACAAAGGTACGTTATATTCTTCAATCTTATAATATTCCTTTAAATGCATATAATTCTGAATTAATTGCTTTTGATGATACTGTTGCTTATTTCGATACTTTGGTTATCTCTGCTAGTAACGAATGTAACATCACGGAATTCAGGTGCGTCTCTTAAACCCTTTTTCTTTTCCAAGTTGTCATGTTTACCCCCTTAAAGGAAATATTAAGGCAAATGAGTACGCTGGGCGTACTGAAGAGTACGATGCGCGTACTCATGCGCTTAAGTTGGAAGCGGACTCGCCTAGGTACGCTGGGATTACTCAGGGTTACGATGGGCATAGCGGGCCCAGATGCAAACCCTAATTTGAGGCTTGTACACTATAAAAGGAATGTTAAGGCCTCATCCCCAGCCACCATACTTCAGTGAGTGAACCCTAAGAGAGCAGAAAACCCGTATTAAGCTTGAGTGTGTATTCTAAGCTTTAAAGTGCCATTTCAAGGTGGTGAAAGAGAAGGGGAGGCCATTTTAGGAGCTAGAAGTTGGTGGACAAGAGTAGATCCGAATTCTACAGAGGTTGGAGCTTCTTTCTGAGGTAAAAAGCTCAAAGCTTTCCTTGTCATTTTTTATTTGTGCTTCTTGGACCAGTTTCTAGGGTTTTTGGTCCCAAGGTGGAGACTTTATGAGCAAATGGTCTCCATTGGCCTAGATCTGCCATATTTCAGGGTAATATGAGTTGTATGTTCATAAAAATCCAATCTTGGACGTGAATATTGAGCCATGCATGAGATCTAGACTTTATGAGGAAGAAGGAAAGGTGTTAGAGTAATTAGGGACCTTTACAACCATGCAAAGGCTTAAAGGTCTCGACTTTATGGATTAAGTGATCTTAGAGAAGTCAGATCTAGAGTTTGAGTTTATGTCTTAACCGTTTAAGACCAAAATCCAAGAAAGGCTGAAACTGAGACTTACGCTGGGCGTAACTCTCAGAACGCGCAGCGTAAGGGTTTGAGACCCCGATTTTGGATCGCCGGAGTACGCCCCGCGTACAAGAGTTGGTACGCGCCGCGTACTGCCCCTTGCTGACTTTCGTTGACTTTTAGGGTTTTGGTCAACATTTGGACTTTTGGGTCAGGGAGGGGTAAAATGGTCTTTTACCCTTCCGTGGGATTGTAGGAAGGGGTGTAATCTAGCCTTTGAGAGCCATTATTTATTCGAGAGTACTGTTTATGTGTTTAGGCGGGGGCAAGATCAGTGTTTTCGTGTGCGAGATTATCTAAGATACCCGAGGTGAGTCTTCTCACTATACATTACATAGAGTGGTATTTATGTGTAGACCAGAGGGTCTTGTATGCTATTTGTATATATAAGATTCTATGCATTGTGTTATATGTATGCTATGTGTTGAACAGACCGGGCCGGAGGGCCCAACGATATAGACCGGGCCGGAGGGCCCAACAATATAGACCGGACCGAAGGGTCCAACGACATACACTGGACCGAAGGGTCTGATGAGCTATGACCGGACCAGAGGGTCCAACGAGCTACGGGACTGGAGGGTCCCGCTGAGACACATCGACCGGAGGGTCGTACTGTAGCCTCGAGTGGCGTATGTGTTGTATGTGGTATTTTGGGGAACTCGCTAAGCATTTATGCTTACTGTGTTGTGTGTTATGTGTTTCAGGTACCAGTGAGGATCGCGGGAAGGCGCCGGCATGATCAGTACACACTCATAGAGATTATGTTGAGATTCTGGGAATTGTTTTGTGATGATGACATTGGATACATTATGTTTTGATATTGTTTTATGATTAAAAGTATGATTTAAAAATAAAAAAATTGTTTTGGAAATTTACGTTGTTACAAGTTGGTATCAGAACCTTGGTTTGAGGGATTCGGATGCACCTTCGGGCGTATCTGAACTCAAACTGAGGGTTTGAAGTTTTTCACAAAATAAACAATTTTTCTAAGGAAGTAAAAGAATTTGAGAAAAGCAGAAGGAAGTAGTGTGTACGATCGGGCAGCGCCCGAACGGTGATTTCCCAAAATACCCTTACATTATGTGTTATGAGATATGTTATGATATGTTATGCATGCTAGAGTAGGCTAGGTATTTATATTAGGACTAGAGTGGCCTGATTTGTGATGCCTTAGCCTAGGGAGATTTCTGCTGCTATGAGATGCTTGAGAGTGAGTAGGTAGCAGTGAGGAGCTGATGAGAGGTCTATCGAAGGGTAGCCTATGCTAGCGAGATGCAGAGTACTTGTGATCTGGGATCAAAGGAGGAGGACTTGGGGTGAATACTGATGCGGTGTGGACGGTAGTATAGGGCCCATACTACTGGAGACACCGGATCAGTGCGCAGTCCAAGTAAGAATCCTTAGGGTACTAGGGA